CACACACACACACACACACACACACACACACACACACACACACACACAGCCTCTTCACAATATGCGTTTTTGCAATTTAAATACATGCAAAAGCGCATAATGGGCACTTACGCAAAATTTTCAAGCAGCTGACAGTGTAGCGCCGTAGGAATTAGCACTGTTGTTGGAATCCCGCATTCCCTCTACTACTCGTTCACTCTTTCTGCTTGTAAATTATGCTGGTATTTGCTGAGGAATTAAATTCGCCACCAACTTGTCTGTAAGCAGCCTTCGAAAGACAGCTTTGTCAGCAGATGATTGCTATTGGCATTTGCTACTACTTAGGTTACTTCCTAATTACTTCACTTCACAAAGAAAACGATGTGGAAAGAGAGGATTCTATCTTGGTAAGGATAACAAACCTTTTTGGTGGTACCGTTTGATTCTGCGTAGATTTGCTTTAGAATAGCGCGAACACTGCACGGATAAACCAATTTCACTGTGCTATAGTGAATCTCGCTAGGTCCACCAATCATAAGACCACCAAAGAGCAGCAGCAGTTCTTCCAGGTCATTCTTCCCGTTCGCCGAGTCATTGTTTTTCGTGCTACACGTAAGGCACTACAATTTCTTTTTTAATTTTCCTGTAAATTTTCCTATGTTTTAAACATCTAAATCGACGCACAAACATACTGTCGATGCTATTCTGGAGATATTTAGCCTAGGATCGACGGATTTAGCACAGCTGCGTTCGGTGTCTACCTTGAAAGCGGATGCACAGTAAATGTCCTGTTAGCTGATGCTGGAGCTCAAGGGCCGATGATGTAACGGGTATCACGCCGCGTCCGAGTGTGGAAAGGAGTGACTCTATTCTCTTCCTGTTCATAACCATTTTTGAAAAGGGGATCCTTTCATCACAGTGCATGAGTATAAAGCTTAGATTTTTTCAGTAGTCACCAAATACTACATAACTGAATCTGGCCAAATGCAGTGAAAGCAAAGCCTGCGTCGAGCCGAAAGACAAAACTCACACTAGGACTCACATGAACGAAAGTGTTTCAGTACCACAAAAGTTTCAAGCAGCATTTTATATAACATTTCCCTCATCAGTGATTTCAGTTAGCCTATCCAGCATTCACACTCTTGTTTTGTCGAAGAGCGTGATTGTTATCTTAGTATCGGAGGGTAACAGGCAGTTTGTTCGTGAATTTCAATGTGTGCTTGGCCAGAAAACAGTAATTTCGTCAGAAGAACCAGAAATTATGAGGCGGAATTTAAGAATTCTGAGGTTATAAGCTACAAGCCGAACTTATGCGATATTTATTTTAAATTACCATAAAAGTACCTGCACAATTCTCCGCATGAGCTTCGACCTACATCGCAGTTCGACAGCCACG